GGAGCGGGGATGGAGGGGAGAGGGAGACGGAGAGGTACATGTGTGCAGCCCAGGGCAGCAGGGCTGCTGAGGGAAGCTGATGGCAGAAACAACGGGGAACAAGCAGTGACAACCGAAACACCAGCAAAACCTCCTCTCCGCCCGCCAGCTGGGAGCAAGCACCCTGGGGTCCTCCCAGCAGCTTCCAACTGGAGGACTGGGGCGGAGGAGGGGGCAAACCAGCCCAAGCCGGTGCAGCCAAGTTCAGGCACCTGCCCAAAGTAAAACAGGAGCAAATAGATAGCTAGACCCAACATAAAACATAAAAGCCTCAGCAAAAGAACTCAAAGGCACCAAACTTGCTTTTTTTCTTTTTTTAAGTTTGCATATTTTTTAATGAAGTAAAAAATTAAAAATAAAAGAAAGAAACACTCCACAGATGCTGTCGGCCTGGCGCAGATCACCCTGTGCATGGAGGGCACCCAGGTCCCCATGCAGTTGGCGCTCTGGGCAGCCAGTCCTCCCCCCGTGCCCCCTCCCCGAGGGCAGCTGAAGAAGGAAGCGGATGGAAAACGTGTGGTGGATACAGCACAAGCGACAGAAGAACAGCACGGCAGCTCGCCAGCCCGGGCTTCACCCAGGAGCGGGTGAGCCGGCACAGGTCAAATACGAGCTCAACAGACTTTGTATGTCCAAATTAAAACCAGCAATGACAACAACGCCTCCCTTGAGAGCTGCACTTCAAACCCTCACAGACAGCATCTGAGGGGCTTTTGTAATTTTTCTTTCAGTGTCACACGTGTGCTTTGGGGTCCCCAGCTGGCAGACAGTGGCAGCGGTAGCTGGTGGCACCAGCAGCTGGTCTTGGTGCTGTTGGCATGGCTGGAGGCCAGAGGGACCAGCGAGCTCGATGGGAGCCTTGGCCCCCTGGGTTTCTTGCCTGTCTTTTTCAGGCCTTTTCCCAAAGGCGTGGCAAAGGGATGGCATGGAGGCAGGAGACAGGATGCTTGTTGGCTTCAAATCCAACAGCTCTCACCCATGGTGGGCTCCCACCAGCAAAGCTCCTGCTGCTCCTCTGAGAAGAAGGATCATTCTTCTCTGCCTTATGTGTGTACACATTTATATAGAGATATAGATATCTGATAAACATTTTGTATGAAAATAAATACTTCATCTGCGTGTTAAGGACCATCATCACTCTTACCTAGTCACCTGCTATAATGTTACATCTCTTTTTTGTCCATGACAACCTTGTTGCCATTGCTTTTTTCCTAACCTGTGGCCACCTCCTCTCTGCCTCCTGGGGCAGCAGAAAGCACTGCAGCAGGCAGGGATGTACCTTTTGGCAGCCCCTCTTTCGCTCACCACCTCCCAAGGTTTGATTTATTACAGGGAACTTTATGAAAAAAAATTTTCCCTTTACAGCACTTGTTTCTTGATAGAAGAAATTATCTTCATCTTTAAAACACTTTTCGTACAAAGAGTAAGGTTTTAACATCCTCTTCCAGGGCTCTCAATTAAGAAATATGTTTCTAGATAGCACTGTTTATACAGATATATGTATAGTTTTTATTTATTTTTATTACCAACCCAACATTTCAATTTGCAGCCATTGATGTAATTCAAGACATACTCTCATGGTGGTTTGTGGGTTTTTTTCCTTAAAAAGTAATGCACTTCAAATGAAAAAGGATGCCTTTTTGTCTGTCTGGTGTTCCTAAAAGGTACTCAAGATGCTACAGGAGTCCTGATGTGGGTGGCAGTTTTTAAGCCCATACCTTTCAATGGCCTGAAGACCACCAGCGAGATGCGGGTGCTGTGAAAACAGGGGAAGCAAACGAGTGAAAGGGCAGCCATGCCACAGCTCGGGGTGGGACAGCGCTGGGAACACACGGGCACGCCATCCGGGTTCTCCTGAATTCATTTCCACCTCTGAGCAGGAGGACCATGCAGCAAACCCAACACCACCACCACCACTACTCACCCTAAGGAGCCAGCACTGCTTTCCCTGGCCGCCTCACTTCCCCCAGGGCAGGCTATTCCTTGGGCAGCCATTTATTTCTTTATGAGTTGTAAATTAACATAATTTTCTCTCCCTGCAGTACCACAAGCTCAAAGTTAATTATACAAAGAGAAATGCCATAGTCAAAATATACATGATAGATATTATATTAGAGGGTTGGGGGTTGATTTTTTTTTCCCCTTCTTTTTTTCTTAGCCCAGGCAGGTGATTGAGATGCTACATGCTCCAGCCTTTGTCACTGAATGTGTGTGTGTCTGTGTGTCTGTGTTTGTATTAAAAATATATCAGTCTTGTGATGTTCTTAAAAAAGAAAGAAATGGAAGGCGGTGAGGGAGGAAACGAGTAATAGTGAAAAAGTTCTTTGACTGTGTCACAGTTTTCTGTGGCTTCAAAAAATACCCATGTTCAAATCCAGCACTGACGGCAGCTTGAAGCTTTAGAGTAGACTTTTAACATTTTTCTGTTTTAGTAGTAAAAAAGAAAAAAAAAAAACAAGCAGCGTGCCCCCCTCCCCAAACCAAAAAGCAACAAGCAAACATAAGAAAAAAAGGAAAAAAAAATCATATTCCTGATCAGCTTTCTGAAATTCCCAACCAGTAAAAACAAGAAAATGTCTGCTTACAGCGGAGGGGTGCTTGGGAGAAAAGCAGACAAGCCCCTGCGGGAGAGGTGGCCTTTGGAGATGGCTGAAACTTCTTAATCTCATTGAACAGGGTCAGTGGCTGGGTTTATTCTGCTTTGTTTTATTTCAACACTTGCCATTGTTGCCTTCTTTTCTTTTGTATCATTTTGAGTGGGTTTTGTTTGGGTGTTTTTTCACTCTGTGATGGTTTTGCCCTTCTTGGCGCCCAGCCGTCCAACCGTCTGGGCAGCAGCAGCCGCCCCTGATGGACAGCCATCTCCTCCGGTGAAACCGCGCTTCCAGAACTGGTGTCCGGTGAGGTAACGGAGGAGGGGGTCCCTTTCCCAGGCGGCATCCACCGCCTAAAACCCCTTGATGTAGCAATAGGCCTCCAGGGTGGCGAAGAGGATGTAGAGCAGCCAGAGGCTGACGAAGAGCAACGTTGTGGCCAGTTTGCACCCCCGAGGGCCACCCAGCTCCCCCCCGAGGTGGGGCCGCCGGCGGTAGAGGAGGACGCTGATGCAGATGAAGGCGAAGATGGTGAAGAGGGTGACGGAGAAGGCCAAGGTGCCTGCTGACACCTGGAACTCCTGCCCCTGTGACGCCCAGTAGATCGCCGCCACCGACCACGCCAGCCCGATGCCCAGGAAGACGTTGACAGCATTGCTGCCCGTGACGTTGCTGATGGAGGCATCGGCATACACATCCTGGATGGCCGCGGCTTTGCTGGCGAACGTGTCTGGGGTTGGGAGAAGAGGGAGGAGAAATCACTGGGGGTCCAACAGAAGAAACGGGCAATCCTTCATGTCTAGGGGACAAGGGAGGCTCACATGTGGCACTGGCTAGCTTGGGACACAGACCTCTCCTGATGCACACCCCTCCTCCCAGGTCCAGGGACCCATGTTGCCACCAAGTGGGGTGCGGACCTTGCCTGGGGACAGGGCACTGTGGAGCCCCTTCCCAACCTGAACCCCATCCCCATGACGGAGTTGCTTCCCTGAGGGCAGGAGAGTGGCCGGAGGCCTTTCCTCCCACCCCGTCTCCTCCCTGCGGCCACCCTACCTGGTACTGAAGTGCCGAAGGCGACAAAGACAACAGCAGTCACCGAGTCCTTGAGGCCGATGGTGCAGCCGAAGTGGGAGGCGAGGTCGCCAATGACGGCCGTGAGCATGCCGATGATAAGGATGGAGACGACGAAGCAGGCCCAGCCGTTGCAGTACTCGGTGGGGGGCACACAGGCAAACAGCACCTTCCAGAAGACCGTCAGGAAGTGCATCACATAGTCGAAGCAGGACGGCAGGCGCTCCTCACCGGACTCGTCCTCATCCTCGTCACCTGCTGCAAACAACATGGAAGAGAGATCCAGGCTCATGATGGGATGGGTCAAGATTACGGGGCTGGACTGAAGCCCATGCTTGGCTCCCCACCCCAGGGCTCCAGGGATGCAACTCTCCTGGGACAAGGCGGCATGGTGCCGGCCACGACAGTGGGCTCAGGGGACATCAGGTCCTCCAGTGACAGGGGTGAGGCTTGGGGAGAGGAGTGCCTCCTGGGACACCGGGACACCTCAGAGCCTGCAGGGCTGGGGAGTGGCAGAATGGTGTGTTGTACCCACAGAGGGGCATCCCCATCGCTGTTCCCATCCACATGGCAGGGGAGTTGGAACTAGATAATCTTTAAGGTCCCTTCCAACCCAAACTATTCTATGATCCACAGGCAGTCACACAGTATGTAGTTAGCCTGTGGAGATCACTGTTGAGGGGCACCAAGAAGTCACACAGGCTCCTGATGTTTTGGGGGGTAAAATAGCAGGACGTGATAGACTTGGGAAACTGGAGTGACCTCTTGGTCCCCCCACACAAGAGAGCGGGCTGGTCATCAGCAGCATCCCCGCAAGAAATTTCTCATCTGTGCGGGGATATCAGCAGCAGCAGCAGCACTGCAGACCCTTGGAGGGGTTCCCTCCTTAGCCTGGTGGGCCAGGTCAGCCCCAAGGCTGGAGGCACTGCTGGTCTCTGTGTGGATCCAGGACAACCAAAATAAATTGGTGAAAGAGAAAGCAGGTAGGCAGCACAGAACAGATGGCATGAGAAGGAGAGAAATGGAAGAAGAGAGAAGCAACCTGCTTGCCACAAGGATAGAAGTACTTTTTCCACAGAAGCAGTTTCTCTTAATTGCTAGAAGGAAGAAAACTGAACAGCCCACACCTCGTCTTTCATGTCAGAAGAAGCCCTCTTGGCCACTGATGACAGCTCAGCTGCCTGCCCACCTGCACTACAGCTGGGTGGAAAACAGGCCTTTGGGAAAGATGCCAAATCATCAAGAAAAGGTTCAGAAAAGTGCCCGAGTGTCATTAATGGCATAAGCGTGCCTGAAAGGTCTGCTCCACAGCTGCCTGGCTCTGGAAGCCATGAGCTCTCCCCAGGCAACAGCTGGCAGGTGTCTGGGCCTTTCCCTCCACCAGCTGCTGCCTCGTGGGGCAACATCTCCTGTCCGCATGTGGGAACCCTCCCTACTCCAAGCGACTCTACTGGTCATGGCAGACAGGACGTCTTCCAGCAGCAGGAACTACCTGAACAGGACAGCACTGGGCACACCGGGAGTCAGCAGCCCAGCCAGGATGGGATTTTGCTGCCTGTACACAGCTCATCAGAACACTGAAGGAGCAGGAGCATTGCCAGCAAAAGTGAAGTCTTTGAAAACTGGCATCCTGGATGGCTGCACACCAAAAGATGGATCTTGTGGGCTCCCAGCTAATGCATCTGCAAAAGTCCAGTAAATTTGGAGCAGAGGAGCTCTTTGGACTGGCTTTGCTGATGGCCACCATGTACGCAACAGCTTCACTGTCTGGGCAGACACTGTCTCCTGTGCCCAGACAGATCTCATCCTAGGCTGCATGAACCCTGGGGATGCTGGTGTGGGTTTTCTGACATCCCACTCACCTGCGCTGACGGTAATGGCCTCCATGAACTGATCCCTCCAGGAATGTGTCCCTACAACCAAAGCCAGGTTTGTCTTCTTAATCAGCTTGTCCACAGTGCTCTGTTATGAGAATAAAGATGCACAGCAATTAAACTGGCTGCTAGCAGGCAAGGCTGATCTTGCAGTGCACTGTGGTCTTGCTGACCTTTCCCAAACTGTTGAGATGCCACAAGCACGCTCCTACAGTCACATGAGGGTAGATTTAGATTGGCTATAAGGAAGAAATTTTTACAGTGAGGGCAGTGAAGCACTGGAACAGGTTGCCAGAGAAGTTGTGGATGTTCCATCCCTGGAGGTGTTCAAGATCAGGTTGGATGAGGCTTTGAGCAACCTGGTCTAGGGGGAAGGTGTCCCTGACTATGGCAGGGGCGGGGGATGGAACTAGATGATCTTTAAGGTCCCTTCCAACCTAAACCATTCTGTGATTCTATGGGTGCCATCAGTGGAGTTGGGCCCACCTTCTCCCTGAACAGGCTGACCCAAATCTCACCAGCATCTGCTTCTTTGCCACTCCTTACTCCAGAGGAAGCTCCTTCTTCCTTGTCTCTGCTTCACCACAGATAGATTTGCTCCTGCCCTCTCCTGGATACTGGCTTCTTCTGCTTCCAGCAGGGCTCCCTTGTCTTTCTTCCTTCACCTCTGCCTACCAGCAGCTACATCCCCTGGCACTTCTTGTAGCCTTCTCCCATAGTTTATTGCAAGCTCCTTTTTATCTTCCAGCAGCCCTTTCCCTGCACACACGGCCACCCCCAACCTCCTTAGCTCTGCTTTCCATGGCTGCTCTTCAGTACCACACAGCTTTCCCCTCCTGGAGAACACCAGGGACAACTACTGACCTTGAACTCATAGGACTCCTCAATGATGACTTCTAGTTTGGGATGCTCGCCAAGTATTGGTTTGCCCATCTCTGCAATCCTCTTGGCTTCCTCCTCTTCAACCGTCAGCTTCCTCTCAGCCACCTCTGTGAAAGCAAGGTCAACATCAAGCTGTAGACAGCAGCCCGGGAGCACCAGGGCACAGTGGGGGCTTATCTGCAGGGCCTGAGCATGGGCTTCTGCAGCCCCTTCACAGCTTGCTAAGCTCACACAGCAATTTTGGGGGCAGTGGTGGGGTGTTGGACCACTGAAACAAAGGGCCAAGATTTCTGAATATTTTAGTCACCAAAAACATATATAACATAGTTTTAATTTATTTTTAAAAAAACCCCAAATGTTTCTTCAGCCTGCATTAGCACTCTTGGATGACGTATATCGCCCCACCATCCCTGCAGCAGCCACATCTTTGGGGAGGTCGAGGTACCGATTCATTCTGCCATTTGGCACGATCATCCTTTAATACAACTCTGGTGTGTTTCTTGGCTTGAATGAACAAGAGACAGGATCTTTTTATTCCCTCTGATTAGAAAATCACTGTTGGCATCCTGTGCCACTCAGTGCCTGATCTAATGCTCAGAGATACACGTGATCACAACCACACATGCACATACCTACATGTTCCTCGCGTTTGGAAAACAAATAGGAAGAAGTCAGTCAGAAGACAAGTGGGTTTTTGCTTTCACATTACTGGATGTTTAGTTTCTGCTGGAGGAAACTAAACGAGGACCCCAGGTCAGCAGTTACCACCGTGAGGCAGGAGGGGTGCCCTGTGGGACTGCCAGGAGGTGCAGCATGCTGAGATGACCCTGTGTCAGGCTCACCTTGCTGATGACCCAGTGAGGTACCTGGGGAGGTTCTGGTTGCCTGGACAGGAAGGAGCACCTCAACCAGCAGGAAGGGTGCCCTGGCACTGTCCCAGCCCTGACCCACGTCTCCTCTCCCACCCACACACCCAAATGCAGGCACATGTGGTTGGGCTCTTTGAAAAGCCTTAGCATCTCAAGAAGAAAGCTGGGTTTCCCCTGGCTTTCCTGTGCCTGACCAGTTGGGCATACGAGCTGCAGCACGCAGCCCAGGTGAGCTCATACAGGAGCTGGAGCTCTGCAGAACCTGGGCCGGGGGCGGGGGGGGGGGGGCATCGCAAACAAAGGGTTCTGGCTGTACAGTGGGTAGATGTTCCCCAAGGTTTCCTGTAGAGTTTACAAACACCACAGGTAATGCCTCAGATGTGATTAATCCCATGTGGGCTCCAGCAGATCTCAAACTCTGCACCAAAAATCACACAAATCATAAAGTCCCACTGAATCTAGTTATAAACTCTGCCTTCTCTTTGCCAACCTGCCTAGATGGATTGCAGACTGTAAGCCTTGCAAGACCTGCAGAGTTTATAAAATATATAATAACTCCTGTGGCAGGTGACATTATTATAACCCATCACAGAAGCAGAAATAACTACATCCATTATCTGAAATCAATGACATACATCAAAACCATCACTGCTTAGCTCAAAGACAGTGTACACTGGATTTGGGAATCCCCAGAAGCTTACAAATACAGAGGAGCGCAGCACTTGCAGAAGAAGATGGGGGGGAACAACTGCAGGCAAAGGCCAGGCAAGCACAGAGGGGAGGAGGCAGCTGAGCTGGAGAGCTGCAGAAACAGGAGTGAACCTGGACAAAATGTTCTGCCTTATGCTACACTTGGAGGCATGAACTGATGATCATCAGTAAGAAGATTCAAGTTACTTATATCCACTTAAGCAGGGAGTTTTCCAAGACAGAGAACTAGAAAGACCATTCTGCCTCTACTGGGAAGGATATGAAGATGACACGATGTATCCATCATCAAAAATGCAGGTGTTTACACACCAGTTGCCATACCACATACGTGGCTTCCTCCGGTCTCAGCTCTACCGTAACCTGAAGCTCTGGGGAGGAGGCACCCTCTGCTCGGCGAGGCCCAGCTCGGCAGACGAGCCGTGACAGTGCTGAGCTGAGTAAAAGCACAGCAGCCATCCCGCCTGGGCTGCGAAGCCCGGGCTCGGGGACAGTCTGGCTCACTACCACCTTCGCTAGGAGATAACTACATGGGAATGTCTGCGGGTTCCAGCTGGTAGCACGGTCCCTTGGGCTCTCGCCCACTGGCTGCAGTTGCGCAGTGCAGAACAGAGACATCTGGAATCAGAGGAGCTACCTTGAAAACAGGGAACATTGGACAGAATTTTCTCAGCTTAACAACTCCAGGAGAAACAATGGCAATGAACCTCAGTCCCCTCTTCGACCGATTTGACAAAAGCCTTTGGCACGGTAAGGCAGCACGGAGCCTGGCGCAAGTATTAGCTATCTAGGCAAGGCTGAGCTGCAGGCAGGTCTGTAAGCAAGGGCAGTGCAGAAAGCCTTCTCCTCCCTGCAGGGAGGGGTATCCGACATGGCTTTATCCCAGAACCTGGCATCTTGCTCATGCTGGTTTATGTACCTCTGCCAGGCAGGGCAGCGTGAGACCTGAAACCCTCCTCTGAGGACGAAGACCTCCTTCATCCCTTCTGACTGTGGCCAAGGCTGTTGCGCAGGCTGCACGGGAACCCCCATGTCTGTGGCCAGCAGCAGGACCTTCACCTGCTGGCGGCTGGCTTTGTTGACCCTGCAAGCCACTTGTGGCTTGCCTCACAATTTGATGAGAATAGCGATCAATTCCCTGGCAGCTCTCAGAAGAGAGTAAACCAAGGGATACACCCATGTCCAAGAGTGGACAGAGAGCTCTGGTGGCCCCAGTGCTGGCTGCAGCATGAGCATGGGACTGGACACACCCCAAAGTGAAGGCAGTGGTGCTCACCACAGCACTGAGGGGCTGTGGGACTTGTGCTGTTTCTGAGGACACCTTGTCAGCAGAGTAAGCGCCACCAGAGGCACCTTCAAGCCCTAGGTAGGCCACTCGTGGTGAAAGGACATGCTGACCAGTGACAGAGACCTGCAGCCTGCTGACAGCATGTCCGGCGAGACATGAATAATGGAGGCCCTGCTGTCACCACGCAGCTCCTCTGTGGTGAATACCGTGAATTGAAGCACAGAGAGAAGAAACACGGCCGCACAAGAAGGCACGTCTAGGATGTCCTGCGGGGGCAGCTGATTGTATACCACTCCTAGGCTGTCTTTCAATGTCAGCTGCAGGAGAACAGGCATAGGCAGCATCTCCAAATGAGTACCTCGCAGCAACGTTAACAGAGGAAGCTTGCAGATAATGAACAAAGGAGGTAATTCCTTCATGCCTCATTAAAAAGCAGTCACATTTGTGAACGTGCAACAGGAAGGCAAAGCACAGAAACCTAGCAAACTTCAAAGGACAAGCTTAAGACCCCAGATGACATCTCTCTTGCCCCAATCTATACTCACCATACAATTAAGGGGAGAGTTAAGCACCTCCAAAGAGCCATACAAAGCACCTACATGTGTCTGCCACTTCTCCCCACCTACCATTTAGGATACTTGAGTACCCTGTAGCATGAATCAGTGACAACCTCTGCAAAACACCAGACCCTAACCTGAACCTGCTCCAGGCCTGCTGGGTCTATCTGTTTCCATGGGATGCCATGGACTGAGTTGAGCCCTGTGCGTACAGATCCAACAGCTGAGAGGGAATAAACTCTTTCACCATTCCAAGGGCAGAGCACACTCCCAATGCTCTTGCCTTTCAGAGAAGCACTTCAGCCAGCAGCACAGTGGATCAGTTTGCCTTCAGAGCCACAGGAGGCCACTGTCTCTGCAGCAAGCATACGGTAGCCACAGGCTCCCATCTCCTGAGGGACCAGGTGTACTGATGGGGGTCTTGGAGGGGTCCTCCAGGAAGCAGGGACAGGGCATGGGTGAGGTGTGTCGCACATCACCCCAACGGGTTGGCCTGCAAAGAAGACTATCAAGGGCTGCGATAAATAAAACACAATGGGCCAGGGAGAGAGACACACTTTTTTAATTTGGAAGGTCAACTCTGTCAAGGTGAATGCTGCCAAGCTGCAGCTTAATTATTAAGTAGCCTGATTTCTGTTTGTATCAGCATCAGTACCTACTTCTCAATGCGGATTGCACCCTGGACTCCCTGCTGTCACCCCCAATTAAGCCTGATAAGGTCTGGCTACACCCAGCAAGAACAAGAGCTTGCCAGGACCTCCTGGGCTGCCTCCACCTCCTCCCTGGGAAGGGGAAGGTGGGGAGATAAGGGTCCCCTAAACCCTTGCCTTCTCTGGTGTGTAAGTGTGTGCTACTATCGAGTGTTAGCAACCTATCTGGGCTACAGGAGCATGCACAGGCTGCTACGGCTAGGCAAGCTGAGTGTGCTGCTCCTCATGCTGGGAGCCCAGGGGTTAGAGAGAAGGTCCTACAAGCAGGGGAGGCAAATGGGTCTGGTAAGATCAAAGGCTGGGTGCGAGGAATGAGGATGACGTCCACTTTTGCCCAGGCTGTAGCAATGGCCACAGCTGGCACCTGGTAGGCGCTGGACCCAATGCTTGCTTGCAGGAAGTGAGGAGAGGTTTTTGGTTAAACCACTCCACGTTCTCACTTATTCTGCCTCATGCAGGGTCAGTTCAGAGACCCTTAAAGGTAAGATAGACAGGAGAGGCCAGCAGCTCCTGGTTGTGGTCCTGCCACTGTCACACTCTACAGACCTGGGCATGTCCCTGCCATGCTCTTTCCTCAGCTCTCTCACGTGCAGGGCCATCCTGAGACTTGATCTGCAGCTATTTGCAAAGTGCTTTCCAACCTACACGTGCCAAGCAGTTTCTTGGGCTCAAGATTCTGTAAGCAGATCCCCTCCTCCTCTGATTTTTTCCAGGGGAATGGGGAGCACCAAGCAGTGTTCCCACATGGTGCATTGCTCCTGGAAAGTAGGTACTCCACCAGCACTTGCTAGCTCAACCTCCTTCACACCAGGGGGACTAAATGGGAACTGGACACTGCTTGTGTCCCTCTGGACACATAATAAATCAAAGTTAGATAAAGCCCATTTCCATGGGGTAATCTGGCCACTACACCTTCTGAGCTGCAACGGGCAATAGGAAGGCACTGTGACACCATTAGAGAGGTAGCTGCCCATCACCTAAGCAATGCTGCAAGACTACCAAACAGCCACGGACCAGTTTGTATTCCCTGTCACTTGCTGAATAAATTGGATTAAAACCAGCGATGTATTCACGCAAGCTTGCTATGAAGGCCATTTCACACCCCTCGAGCTACCTCTTCTCCATCCATTTCTAGAGTGGGCATGTATCTGAATGAAGGTCACCCCTTCTAGGGACTGTACTGCTAGGAAGAAATTAAAACAATTAAAATGGGATATTTTTTTTTGTTCTTCTTGTGGCTCAATAAAATATAAACCTGGCTAAACAAAGTAAACAGTGAGCACAAATAAGCTTCTCTCTCCGGAGCGGTGTCGAGCCATCAGTCACAACCAGGGAAGACTGCTGGCTCTGGCCAAAAGACGCGCCGGCTTTTGAGGTTAGCATATGGATATGCCCTTTACTGAAACACATGCACAAGCACCGGCAGCCTGGGCTGCTTTCTAAAAAGGGAGAAATCTGCTTACTTAGCCCTGAAAGCTATTTTTGAGGCGTGATACATCCCATATACATGCCCCAGCGACCTTAACGCTAACTGGGAGATGCTGCTCATACATTCATGAGAGGGAGGCTAAGGCACAAGGCTGGGAACTGCGCATTATTCCACTGCTGGCTCTGCCTTGAGATTGCTGTTGACATGACTGTCCCCGACAGGCCAGTCAGCTGGCGTCTCTGCTCCCCAGTCCTTCCCACTGCAAAGAGGACCCATGAGTTTTAATGCATAAATAAAGAAACATATTTAGAAGTATTTTCAGTTTGCACTGGGTGAATATGTGGCAATGAGGGTAGAAAAGTATCTACCATTTAGATAATTCCTCATCCCTCTAAAAATCCGAACCTCCTGAGCCCAAAAACTTGCAAGTCAAGCCTCTGCTCATGCTTTCAGTGACTTTTGCAAGGCTGGAAAGACCACCTGAGCCGCTCATCCACTGCTGGCAATGGCAGGGACAACTGGAATAGCTACGCACTTCGGTATCAACTATTTCCCTGTATAAAGAGTATACAGGGAGATCGCTGCCAGTGCCAAAACAAAAAGTTATGCATCAGAGAAGTTAAAAAAAAGACAGGTTTGGCTCTCAAGTCACCTCACAGACACCCTACACTACTATGGCCCTCTGCAGCGCCAACAGCAGCCACTGGACACTTGGTCAAGCAAGGCTTTCAAAAGCTTTGCACACCCTCGTGAGTCTGGCTCGGAGAGCCTGTCTGGAGGAAACAAATGGTGAACTGAACCTGTGCCAGAGGCTCTTCCCTGCCCAGTCACTTTGCCTTGCGTAAAATCCACAGCCTTGTTTTCCCAGGGAGGGCTGGGCAAGGCAGGCAAGCAGAGTCAGGATCTCCCGTTTACCCACAGGTAAGGGCTGCTGGGAAAAGGGAGGCTTGGGCTCATCCATCGGGTGCTCTGATGGTGCTCATCCATCGGAGCACCCCAGGCCTTCTGCAAAGAGACGGGGCCACCACAGCAAGTGGGGGCTGTGCTGCTGCTGGCCCCACAGGGGCTGCCAAAGATGCGGGGGGACGAACGCTCCATGACTGCGGAGGAGAGCCAGGGTGCCCAGCAGTGTCAGGGAGGCAGCCCCAGGGAAAGGGGTGCTGCTTTGGCAAAGCTATGTGAGCTGCTCAGGGAAGGAGGGGATGAGGAGTGGGACCAATGGATTCCACGGAAACGTTCAATAATGCAGTTTTTTAAACAAAAATTCTTGCGCGTGCATGTAATCTAAATCTAACATGACATGGACTAAATGAGGACGTCACTTCTCTCCCCACTGATTAGCTGTGATTGCTGCAGAGTGACACTCCAGCATGTGCCTCTGCGGTGAGCGGGGCTCTGCTCGCCGGCCGGCCGCCAGCTTGAAGCGCGTGCGAGGACTGAGCACTGTGAGCTCAAACCATCAGCCAGGCACGTGCCGTAGGCACAGAGGGCACCTCAGGGTAGCCCGGCAAGAAGGGGGGCACCCCCGGGACTCCCCTCCTTCCCAGACAGGGAGGAGGCTTTTCTTTATTAACTGGAAAGCAACTTTCCATAGCTGGTGACCAAGTTCTCCAGTAATGGCTGCCAAAAGCAATCAGACTGGATCACAACAGAGGGATGAAAGTTATGTTACTTTAATAGAAATTACTTTGTTCCTGGAGTTCTGATCAAATTAGGCAGCTACTGAATTAAGGCAATGAAATTACTGGGAAGGAGGCTGTGCTCAACTTATTTCCAGTCCTCCTGGACCTGAAGAAGTAACAAAGGAAAACATCCAAAACGCTCTGAGGAGTTTTCCATAAACACCCTAAGCTGATATTTGGGGAGCCGGGGACTTCTGCCTGCCACTAGCAATTTCCTAATTAGCCCGATATCCGATGGGCTCAGGCCATCCCCTGCGCAGCAGATTTGGCATCCTCCAGAAAGCAGCAGAGACTGAAGCTCGCGTGGCAGATGCTGCTCCTTTGATTTGCAGCACAGCTCAGGCGTGATGAACACTTGGGTTTTCAGCTTTGCTTGCAAACCTGTCAGACTCGAGCTCCTCTCTGCACCCTGCACGCCTGCCCTCATCTTTTGACAAATGTTTTTTTAGCGCAAATTCAACTGTAATCATATCTGGAATGGAAGGAATAAGAAAAATACAGGAGGTGCACATCGCACCACAGTGGGATCAAGAGAGACTGACGTAACAGGGATTTCGGGAAAGAAAGAGGGGGCTCAGTATCAATAAACGCAAAATCCTGCAACAGGGAGAGAAGATGAAGGCTACAGAGCCAGAGTTGAGGATAAGAGGGAAAAGGTGCTGATGTTTATTGTGCTCTGGTAGCACTGCCCTGGTGCTGGGGACCTTCGAGACCCTCCAGGATAGGAGGTCGAGAGCATTCGGCTGCATGCACTGATCCCGCATGTGCAGGGCACACCCACACAGCCCTGCACCCCCACGCACCCCAGACACCATCACCTCACACCCCAGGAGTGCCACCCCCGTGCAGACGAGCCCTGTACTCCCCGGTGCATCAGCACAGTCCCAGCCCCAGAGCTGCCCAGAGAGAGGGTCGAGTCACAGCCCCAGGCTAGTCAAAGCTGCATATTCTGCTTTGCAACCCTGGCCAGGTCATTTCCCAAAACCCTGGGGAAAAATGTGGAACTTGGGGAAGGCTCTTAGACATCAATCAATCAATCACTGTCATGTTCTTAATGCATTGCTCTTAACTAGCTCCTGCTGGACGTAAACACCGTGAGCTGGGGTTGTCTACAACACAGCAAACACAAACATGGGAGTCGCTGAGCGAGGGCGACGAAAACAGAGCCAGAGCAGGCAGAGGAAAGGAGAAAAAGCACTTACCTTGGGAGAGCAGGAGGGCTGTGGGGAGAGAAGGACATGAAAAAGACAGGGAGAGAGAAGAGAAGAAGAGGGAAGAAGTTAATATCCCAGGGTGAAAAGCTGTTTTGCAGATGACGGCTGTCAGTGAGCAATGGACGTGGCACAGCGCACGAACTCGCCAGGGCAACATGCCGGGTGCAGGCTGGGGAGCAGTGATATGGAGAGGAGGCTGGTGAGCACCGGGGTGCTGGCTCCCCAAAGTCATACCCCCCCAAGCGAAGGCAGAGGGATGGGATGCGGGCGGGGAGTAGCAGGGGGGGAAAGGGAAAAGTTCGGGGGGGGACACGATTACACTTGCCATCCAGGCCTGATGCAACCTAAACTGACCCGAAGGCACAGGAGGTGCCCTCGCTTCAGCCAGAAGTGTTTGGTTGTGGCAGCACTTGGCACAACCAGGGAGGCCCCGGTAAAGCCGTGAGTGGCTGAGAAGAGAGGGTGGCTGGGGGCGACAGGCAGCTCACTGGGAAGAGGATCATCAGGGGCAGGCATTGATAAAATGGGTGCTGGTCTCCAGTGTGAAATGGGGCAGTGGGTAATGTGGCTGTGCGTCACCCCCTGGGATGCCCTGCCTCACCTACACCTATCCTGCGCCCACTGCTCCTGGAGGAGGTCAGGATGCTGAGAAGATCACAGGAACACATAAAGCATCACTGCTTTAGGACCTCCTGGCTCTCTTTGCTCCCAAGAGCAGGTCCCCCAGACAACGCCACACAGGCACGTGCCAGGCAATGCCATCGCAGTGGGAGGAAACTGGGAGATGTGACCACGTGGTCCAGTGAGATTAGAGGTAGGAAGAAGGGAGGAGAAGGGGGCGAAGGTCCTTGCAAGGGATGACCTTACCCTGACTTTCCATACAGGTGCACTCAGCCCTCTCACTGCCTTGGGCAGTGGCCTCCCGGCCCTCCTCACCTTGATTTCCCCACTCCCCCAGAGCCATCACAAAGAAATGTCTGGCTGGATCCCTCTTACATGTTACCCCTAGAAAACCACAGCCTGCATTCAAGTTTCAAACTAACTACAGGAGAGCCCGTATAACAAAAAAATACTGAAGCCTCTTAAAGAGGGGCCAAGCACCAGCTCCGTGCCTTAGCTTCAACTTCTACCTGTCCTTCAAACAGCAAACCAGTCCCCGAAGACTTGGTTGCATGCTATGACAGTATTGTAATTACTAACACTAATTATCATGCACTTGAAGTCTCAGAAGCTTAAAACCCTCTACAAAGACTGAGTCAGTATTAACAGCCCCGTTGGACAGATGGCAAACCAAGCAAAGAGAGGCTAAAAGGAACATTTTGCAAACTCAGAAGTGGGCTGGAGTCCAAAAGTGCTCATTTACCCCGACTTGCTGCTTCAGGCCTCTGAAAAGCAGGCACTTTTGTACAGATGCACCTAGCTGTAACTGTTGCTGGTTTCAAAGTGATTTCCTAAGCGATTTGTCAAAGGTCACAAAGCACATCGGTGGCAGAGCCGGGGAAAGTAATCCTGAGTCCCGGCTCCCAGTCACTTCCCTGCTCCATCAGGCAGCATCCCTGGGCACAGCTTTTCCAACAGCCTGTGGAGAGGCATTGGTCCCGTCAAGATCTTCATCCACCAATCCATTTCCCCAGCTGGAAATACTATGGGCGCTCCAGGGGATCTATGCGGGCAGGTAGAGGCGCAGTGAACGGGGAAGGGGCAATGAAAAGGCTCCTTGCTGAGCACCCCTCCTGTTTCAGAGTCAAAAACCTTCGGGAGAACCGTTTGTGAATACGTTCTGCAGCACATGCAGTGCCACAGAGCCATAAGAACAGGATGTTTACTCTGCCCGCACCACCTCCTGTCCAGGAAGTCTCCAAGAGGCCTGTCACTGCCCCTTATAGTAGGAATCTTGAGTCTCCTTGTAGCTGCAGCTCCATGCTACCCTGTGGCCTCCTTACTATTCCATGGTCTTCTGGTTCCTCAGACAATGTGGGGAAATTTAATTTGCCTTTTGCAATTACAAGCATTAGTACAATGGGTCGATCCACTGTTCAAATTTAATATAATGAAATATTACTGGGCCCCCAAGCTACTGTGGTTATTAAAAAAAAAATAATCATTGGTTCCTCATGGGTTTTAAAACTGTTATTCTAGTGCTCTGGGATTTGAGTTTATTTTTTTTTCCCGTTTGCTTTTAAGCTTGCAAAAGAACTATTTTTCTCCCTTTCACTTATGATATGATACATGAATATTTGAAGAAGCCCATAAAGCTATGAATGAAACATCAAGAATACAGCATGCAGAAAGCCGAGGGATTATTTTATCTTCGCATTTCTGAGTGAATGCTGTGCACGCAAGCAAGAAAATGATTTCACGGACTAAAGGTTCCTTCCTGCACACGCATCTGCTAATGTGCCCTTAGCCCTGACCTGCAACATCTCCTGACAGTCCATCTGGGGATACCTTACCTGTACCAGCCCCACTGATGGCCGCCGTGCCGTTCCCATCCTGCAAGCCTCCCTCCGCTGCCCCGGCTCCATCCCTCCATCCCTCCCCAGGGCACCTGTCCCCCTCCTGCACTCCCGCTCTGCACATTGAGCTCCTGGTGGGGCCAAGTCAGGCAACCTCATTGCTGTTGGCATCTCAGGTAGTCTCAGAGGCTTAACGCATGTATTCTTCCAGGGAGCTGCTAAAATTAGCTCAGCAGTCAAATCCAAAATAGCAGTCCCAAGTACCCCTTGCCTAACCCTTGCACAGTGTAAATGCAAACACGTGTGCCTGCAGACTCTCTCAGGAGACCCAAAGCTTTCAGGTTTGGATCCCAGTTCCTCCTTTACTGGGACTTCTCTGCCTTGCAGGCCTGGTTTTTACTAGGCAAAGTCAAAATCATGTGCATGAACTCTGCTTCCCCTGCCATCCCTGAAAATGGACAATTTAAGACCTGAATTTAGCTGCTAAAAAAGCTGTTTACTAATAAACTATTTCATCTGCATGTTTTCAGTGTATTTTGGGGTCAAATCCTGCTGCGACATGCGTGTTGGTGTGGGTTACAGATCAGGAATTGAACTCCCTCCTGCTTTAACTCTACTGAAGCCAAAGAAGGTTAAACCAAGAGGAACCAGGCCTGGGATGGGAGCAGACCAGCCATCGGGCAATCCTGTTGTTTACAGCAACCTGGTGTGCTAAATGTGTGTCCCAGCCTTTTTCTAAACAGTGAAATATCTTTTTCTGCTGTTTACCTCTCAGGGAGATTTGATGATGCTGCATGCTTTATTCTGCACTCATTCTTCATTAACGTAAATCTTTTCTAATCAATATCCCTAAAGACTCCAGGAAGCCACTGTGTGGATAAGAGGATGCTTGTTAAAGGCCTGGGATTTACCGAGTGAGCTGAAACGAGGGAGAGGAGGCTGGATTCTGAGGAGACCGTCACTCTCACAACAAGGCAGTCTCAGGCAGCAAAAGGCAAGGAGAACACCTTGCCTGCACCCCACGCGCACCCAAAGGAGCTCAGTGACCACGCAAACCACGGGCTCAGTTCCCCAAAGAGGTAAGGATCCCCCATCTTCCAGATGTAACTGTCCACAGGCTCTGCCTCCAGGTTTGCTCACTGAGGTGAGCAAACTGTTTCCCTAATGGACTGTGAAGAGCTATAAATATGGGGTTTTTTTTAATAGTCTAAACAAGGCAGAGATTTTGCAGCACTAACGTGAACGCTGTTATTGTTGAAGTCAATGGCAAAGCTCTTGCAGACTCCAAGAGACTCCTCTCCATCAGGAGGATCAGCAGCGTTCAGCTTTATCACAGAGCTGTAAGCAAATTACTAAACCTTCGGGGAAGGAGATTACAGCAATCTAACATTTCTTTGTTATTCCCATCAGCAGCTGATGGAAGAAGGACTTCCTCAGCATCTGCCCACACTTCAGAAAACTGCAGCACATGTGCTCAAATATCAATGCAGCTTATCTTAACCAGGCACGGACCTTCGTACCAAGTCACATCATTTCATCAATATTTTGATACAGATAACTTGCTGGATCAATCCAAGCTAGGAATCCTTTCTTTGCAGTTTAATCCTTACTCTGCGACTCCTAGTCACATGCTCCCTCTGGCACACGAAGCTTTCCCATCGGGGATGCTGACACTTGATTAAAAGGAGATGTGTTAGGAGATGTGTTACAAGATTTGTCCACACCAGTTGATTCTGTGCTGGGAGGGCTGAGAGGACTTCAGACAAAATCTTCCCAAGCCAGGTCATGCCAGCAAGCTGTTTAATAGTGCTTGCCAGCCATCTGTGCTTCTGTTTCCAGTGCAGTCGTATCTTGTGAGAGACATGCTTGCTGAAGCAAAATTTTGCATGAAGGATCTTGGTCCCTTTTACAAAGCGTAGCCCTCAAGACTCAGCCTTCACGCACCGGAGGCCCTGAGGTTGAATCTTTCACCACTGTGTCACGAGCAGGCTCCCAATTACCCTCATGAACCATAATTTTCCAAATGGTATTTTCACCATTATCTGCTATCAAACAAAATCTCCCAGAGTAGCTTCACTTGCTATTGGGGCTCCATCAACACTAAGGTTAACCACATTTTAAGCCGAAGAGCAACTTTATCCAGGGAAAGCAAAGCAAGTTTTTCTCCTGTAATCCAGGACTGCGAACAAAGTGTGAGAGCTGATATGTGAAGAAAGTGTTTCTCCAAAATCCTGCTGGGCTGACAGCAGCAAAATCCTCAGTCCGAGTTACGAGCTGGGATGATACCAGAGCTGCCATGACAGCAAGAGTCAAACCAACCGACAGCGTCTTGTCATACAGCAAAAGACTTGTTTCACTGCAGGAACACTTTAAAAAGGCGCTGAAAAAGGATGGCCAGAAAGGTGGCTCAGGGTGCTGGGAGGTTTCAAAGCCCTGCAGCGCTCAGTAGACAGGGATTCACTTTACATGACCACACATACAGAGGAAAAATGAGACAAGAAGGATTCAGATTAACTTCTTAGAAATGGAGAAGACAAAAAAAATCAGGAA